CGGCTAGACCTTTGTCTTCGCACTCCCTCGTTAGTTCAGGAGATGAGCTTGTTACAGTGGTAGCAGCCTGCAGATTCCAGCAGCTTGTCGGTGAATCCATAATGGTCTTGACCGAATGGCGTGGCTACTCGTGTCTGAGGGGCGTGGAAAAGCTATCAAGAAGGCCTTTCTGGCGACCTCAGGGCCTTCATGCGGTCTACAGGAAAACATGTAGCCAACTGGTCACTAGGCTCTTGGAAATGCTAATGGAGACGCTGAAAGTGTGTTGCTGCGAGATCCCCTAGGGACAGTAGGGGCCCTACCAGCGCTGCGCGCTAGCTTATGAGCTGTGATGTGAGAAGAAACGAGCGAATACACAGCGAGAAACTATGAAGACATATACGCATTGAGCCCGCAGACAGAATATGCTATCCTTGGCAGGAGAAGTCCCTACTCCTCTGGGGCTCCTAGGCGCCTCATGGACCCGTATGCTGCAGGCAAATGGGAAAGCAACAGAGCACGGAAAAGGTCCATTTCAACACAAATTGCGAGCAACAAATCGGGCTCCGCATTGATTTCACGAAGTTCGGATCTGCTTTTTAAAGGGGGGCGACCCCACATCAGCTGGTCTGCCCACCACCGAGCTGCCCTGCATCAAATTGCAAGTACGGATTCACATTGGTGCATACCCATACGCCAACTGCTTTTTACACAAAAGGTAATAATGGATCGGAATATCTTTGCAGAAGTAACTGCGTTTTTGGCTACGAGCGTACTATGGCAGCATTTAATTCTGCAGGTGAGGATCGGCACTTATTCACTGGAACATGATGCTGACATTTTTGAACAGTTTCTTCTCCCCCTAGAGCGAATACACGTCATATTTTCAAGTTGTATGTCTCGGTCTCTAGATTGTTGGCCTACAGCCGCTCTTCGAGGTTGAATACAAGCTAAGCTACACAAAGCAGTCAGCTCCAAACAGTGTTTACACATAAAGAGTTTTCAAATAATTGATTGTACGGTTTACCAATCAGTGGATGGCTCCGCACTACAAGGATATTGTAATAATGCGTGCACGCATGATGATTCTGCACAACTATCGTGCCGACGCCTGGACTGCACGCAGGATGCAACTACCTGCACCTCAACTCTCCTTCATCATACAAGGCGTTGCCAATGTGGGTTTAGGGAAAGGAAGGAGACGGCTCTAATGAAAAGACGATCCATTCTTACGGTTACATTGCGTTTTGGCCGCGAATTTCCACGGTGCTGGGTGTGCTGCTGCTAAGATTACCTGTTCGTGGTGAGGCGCTGGGCAGAGGCAGTGCATGCAGTCTTTGCAAGTAAGGCATGATCAGGAAGTATCGCAAGAAGTGCTTCTAGGGAGTAATGCTGCCTACAAGCTCTCCTTAGGGACACTCGTAAAACTACACTCAATACAAACTCAATAGTAAGCTCTTGAGTGTTTTCCAAAAGAGATCCAGCGGCGCTCTCAGCGTTCCAGACAATAGGGGAAAGAGACAGCTGGAGTGCATGTAGCAGCAGCCTCTACGCACTCCAAGCATGTTCAGAGAGTTGCATGTCGCATCTAGTGGACATGCACACAACATTGATCTGGTTTTGAGTTATCACTATTCTGCAACAGATTAGGAGTATGAACAGACAGCCAATTCGTCAACATTTTTAATCGTGTGATATACGTAAAGTAGTAGAAAGTGATAAAGTGCAGCTATTCCCTCTAGACAGCCGCTGCAACACTAATTTCTCCCAATGCTTTTATAAGGCACTCTCAAAAAGCTTCTTCAGCACCATGACAGAGAACGTACTTATGAAGAGCGAAGTAATGGCAGGCCTTTCGCATATGCTATGCGGCAACCGCGCAAGTGTTTCAGTGATTCTATCCCTAGCGCCTGACCCCTCTGAAACAAGCTACAGGTATCTGTTTGAAATTCACTCAGGGCCATATGAGTACAAAGACTCATGGTTCATTACGAATGGGTAGTCGAGAAATTATCCTGCTGAGCTCCGAGTGGGAATTATCTCACAACTGCCCTGGGCATTCAAGTTGCGTTTGAGCGATTCCTTAAACATGTATACGACTACACACACCAAACGTTGAGGTAAAACTGCCGATACAGCACCATTTCCGAGAAATAATGGTTTTGCCGTTTAGCTTCCGGTGCGTTTTGGCTTCATGCAGCGATCGCCAGGGCTCGTTTTTTACGATTTGCAGTTACCCCCGCGCAGAGTGCATCTGATCCCTCTGGGGTATTTTCTAAGCCACCCTATAACCTGCTCGACTATCCATATTCCCTGCTGCTAACTATAGAGAGAGCTCTGTAGGAGTGCACAGATTATCAGACAGAGAGACAGCATGCGAGGCACGCAGAACATAGGGAACTCGTGCTTTCAAAAGCTGCAGGTCGGCTCATGGCTTTGCCTGAACGGAGTAAAACGCAACGATGCATGAGCGTGTGCAACTCAAGAAAGCCAAACAAGCTTCCGTAAGAAGCACTGATTCATCTTTTCTAACCGTGGTAACTTGCAGGAACCGGCAGGAGGCGTTGCTCCCTGCCAATATATTTGTCGGATTTCCTATGCGAAACTGAGGCCTCAACAGGGCACCCGGGGTAGCACATGAAAGCCTCGAAAGTAAGCTATTATAAAAATAGGGAGGGTTTTAAGCGGGGAGCTGTAAATCAGAGTGGCTCGTACACTGCTTGTCAAGAGAAGTGGCAGCGAGAAGGGAGGCATACAAAACTGCGAGTCCAGACGAACGCGCAAACGGGGAGCATGTGCACCTAAAAACAGGCCTCGCTTGTCCATAATGTGCCACAAAACCAGCATAAGCGATGAGCTTGATGCGCAATGCTCGGCCCTAGTGCTCTTTGAATGCACCTTTTATAGAGGAAAAGAAAGTGCAGATTCCGCAGCCCCTCACCACTCATAATACCCTGCAACTGGCTGACCATTCGTCACCATGATGACCCACGCTACCGACGTCTGTGTTATACCCCTCACCCACAGTCTGTGTAATAAAAGCTGAACAAGCCTGGATAGTCCACCCCCAACGGGAGGAAGCTTCGTGAGGATATTTGCGAGTACCAGGGCACTCCAAGGAACTAGACCAATTCAGCTTACTAGAAATGTACACATTAAGCCCCTAGCTATGTTTATAAAGCCTGAAGCTGCTAGTTAATACTTACTTTGCTCTCTGGGCCAAAGGGGCAGACCAATGGCCTGCGGCAGAAGCACTGAAACAGCCTCGGTCGGGGCCGTGCCACCCATTAGCGGAGCATGAGCGGTCTTCTTGCCTCCAGGAACAAACAACTCCAAATACTTTGCTGATTTTTACGCCGATTTTCCAGACTCCAACCCGGGCATTCTCCCTCACTGCGAGATGAAAGGTCGGCAGTCCGGCCTGTTTATTGGTCACGGCTGCTGCCCCGTTGCTTCTTCCTTTACCTGTTGAACCGGCACAGACATCCCGTTTATATCCCATTTAGAGCAGTATATTCGCTCTGAAGATACGGAGACAACTTCCCAGGGTCCATACGGACCCTTGGGTGCACGCGCACCTGATCGCGAGGCCTCCGCGTCGATTCCTATCAAACTGTGCCTCCCCCCATTTCCAGTCCCCTGATAAACTATCTCTGGGTTTTTCGCTCTCTCCCACTGCCTTTTGTGTAGCCGTTTGTAGGGCATTGTCGTTTTTTCCCTGCGATCCGCCGCCGTCGTCCCGTAGTTTGCACCGCGCTTTTTACCCCGCAATGCAACTGCACGCTGATGAGAGTGGTAGCTGTACTCCAGGGCCTCTATTGCGGGTAAATGCTATATGCGTACTTAGGAGGTGGCATATTCCGGGTACTTCAGCATGAGTCTGCCGGTGTCTAACTTTGGGTTGCTTGGGGAGAGTATCTCTTGGCCCCCGGGGTTCGTCGCAATACAGCGCATGCCAGGTGCGGACTTTCACGCTAATCCCCTGCAGAGCCACCAAACTATGAATTCTGTCTTCAACGGCAGGCCAGTCAAAGAATCTCACCCTGCAGGCATACGTGCAACCCCTACGGACCAAACAGTAAAGCCACGTTGTCGTTTCAGCTTATTTAGTCCAACTCAACATTCCTTACTGATGAATTAAGAAGGTGTAATCGAGGAGCTCATGCTATGTGGGTTTATGTCCAGTCGGGACGGCTCTGGCTATGCGAATGCCGCTATTTATTGCAGGGAGCGCCGCCCATGGTGGGACTTGGCTCGTCAAGAATGATGTAATTGCACAAACGGAAGAACTTGAGAAGCACAAGTAAGAATGCTTGGCTTACAGTGGTCTTGCAGGTGCGGTCTTCCGGAGCCGGCAGCTGGTAACAAACGTACTTGCAGTTATGCATACATTAGGGTCTGCTATGCTACAAGAGTCATGTATGTGCCATAGCATTGCTACAGGGCCAAGCTGGAAGAAGCCCTTGCTCGTCTAGATATTGGTATCGACCAAGCAGCACAGGAATTAGAAGAAGAACAAGATGAGGCCTTTGAAGACGGTGATAATTATGAAGATGAAATGGACTACGCAGAGCGATTTAATCCACACGACCGGTGATGCGCCACGAAGCTATGTCCTACACGGAAGTCGTTGACGTTCAAAGGGACGTGTGTGTAGTTGCTGACTGTTAGAGCAATCCAGCTTGCTCTGCCGTTTTACATACGCGCGTGGAGCAGAACAGTCTTGATGAAATTAAGTCGACACATTGGCTCTTTGGATTTCTGAGCGAGTACTCTGCTGCAATGTATATTTGCTTAGAGAGGACCCGGAGGTGCTGCTAGAGGAGCGACAACAGCTCAAGACTGATATTGAAGATCAACTGGACGAAGTGAGACGCGTCTTGCCACTTGTATATGCACTCGAGGGTCTTGTTTTTCAAGATGTACATACCTGCTGGCCATGGTGCCACTTCATGATGAATATTCTCGCCAGAAGAAAATGTCGCTGGTCTAATCAGGACATTGGTTTTTGGACGTGTGCTTAACCGCGAGGTAGCAGGCTGCGTTTTGCTCCCCTTTTCCGGTGCTTTTCTAAAAAGAAATAGAGCAGACAAACAGCAGGAGACTCTGAACATAACTCGATTTGTCTCCCTGTCTCCATGGATATACCTACAGGTCCGAGAGAAGCTCGAACAGCTGGAGTCTAGCAGTTTGAACTTCACGTGGGAGCGCCGGGAACTGCCCATTGCAGTACGTTCCTTTTTCCCGCGTATGGCTTCTTCGTTTGCGTGGCATGCCTCTGCCGCCGCTTCTTCGGTATCGGCGTTTCCGTATTGTCGTGGTCGACACAGTTGTCCTTGAACGGACGGAAAGCAGAAATTGTGCGCTTCATGCGTGTATTCTATTGCTTTATAGTCATTTCTAAAGCAAACAGCATCATAGAAAAACCATATGGCGCGTAGTTACAGCAGAATGTCGCACATACCACCATTCTATACGTTATGTGCTTTTTGAGTGGCCTGCATGGGGACGTGTCTGTGTCAAAATCAGGATTGCTTTTGCAACCGAGTGAATGCACTTCCCAAACTCTTCGACGTTTGGTTTGCTGGGTCAAATGTTCCTGTGTTCGCACATTCCAATGTTTTAAAAATATTTCTTGCGATTTTTTGTGCGCCGTGCTGTAGAAAACAAGTTGTCCGTGCATAGCGATGAGCCCAACAAACGCACGGCTGTTTGTCAGTATCTAACTAAGCCTAGAGCTGCATGTTATTGTATTCGCTGCTTGAATCTGGCGGATCGCCATTGTAGGAACATGTGAGTGCTCCATCGCGTAGACAAGTAGTGCCTTTGCGTGAGCGTGTACCATCGACATGTTAGTGGACTGCTGTCGCTGAATGAAACAGGTTGTTTCATAAGGGATATACCGTTTCCATATGCGCAGCTTAGACGATTGGATAAGCCCTGGGAGGACTTCAACCACGAGTTACTAGTCCAGGCCCATTTGGAGGCACGTGCCCTTGCAGCGGCAGAAAAAGAACGGCTCGAAAAAGCAGCAAAAAAGGCCGCCAAGAAAGGTAATTATATCGTATCCCACACTGCATGCGTATTGTAGTTTCAGATACCAACATGCCTGCCCAGCTTGGATAGACATGAATAGCACTTTTATAATTCGGGGTTGAACTTGGTCGCAGGGAAGAAGGTAGCAGCTCCGAAGGTGGCTCCAATCGAGCGAGATGTTCCAACATTTTTCTGTGCCAAAGTTGTAAGCTTCTGTGCTCCTAAGTTCTGTCCAAATCTCACCTCTTACATTCCTTCCAGATGAGGTGATTGAATTTTTGTAAGTGTTTGGTGATCTAATTGACTCAATGGTCTAGGGAACAACTAGAAGCCAGACGCAACTGTAGGCAATATCTTCCACAGAAAAGCTGCGATACAAGTTCGCTGTACAGCCTGGTCTCTAGAGGGTATAATGTTGATTTGTACTCATCTAATGGAATCTATCTGCCTGAGTGTGGCCGACTGTCTTGGACATCAACGGATCCTGCTCGTTTGCATTGTAATGTGAACAAGATGTTGCTTTAAGCGTGAGCTGCTCAGGTGGACCCAGGAGCCGCAGTGGCAGCCGATGGACGGGTTTTTCAGTACAGCGACGCTGCATTTGACCATGAAGGGGCCAAGACCTTGGTCAAGGAAGTGGAGGTCTTTATGCGTTTTTGCTGGCGGTACATAGTGGAAAAGGGGAAGTTCAATTTTGAGCAAGTCGGGCTGCTACCGGTGGTTCACACCGCTACTGTCAGCCACGCCCATGTCAGTTTGAAGAGCTTCTCAGAAGCGGCAATTATCACGTGAGGCTTTCAAGTAGCACATCGGGGGTACCTGTTTCGCATGTGGCCAGCGCCCCAGGCACTCAGATGCAGACGTTGGTTATGCATGCGATATCTGCGAGCATATTGGCGCAACAACAGCCCGCGGTCTTTCGCTCTGCCTGCTAGTCACCCTAATTATTAAAAGCGTTTGCGTGCTGCACTGCAACCTGATGAGTACGTAGGCTTGTGCTGGGCAGACTGTTATACACGGCTGTATGCGGTTACTGGTCAATACTCAGGCCTTTAATGCAGAATGGCAGTGTCGGAGCGGTTATAAAGGCTCTTGCGGGCAAGAAGAACACGTACGCGTACAAGGCGGATCTACTACTGGCGAATGCGAAAACCCTTATACTGTGGTAATAAAACTTTCCCTCGAACAGCCCCTGGGGAGGGCGCGACTGCTTAGCAGCTATCGGCCGGTACACGCTTTCCAAAGCAGTTGGATAAGCCTTTTGTATGTACTCTGAAATATATTTGGAGCCGTTTTATGTTCTGTTATCTATTGCCTTACTATAGTGGTTATCCGCTTGGGCTGAAGTCTTGCTGGCGTGATGTTGATTCGGTGTTCCCTTGGGGTGCTTTCAGTTTAGCTTTTCTCGAACACCACGGAGTTTACCATGGGAACATCCATCCGAACAATATTTTTGTTTCGGACGACGGTTTTCGTCTTCTCATTGGCGATTTTCTCCCTCCAAGTAACTAATTCCTTTTCTTGTATCCTAATTACGGAATCCCTTGCCGTTCTCAGTATCCAGCAAGGCACTTCTGGCATATGGGCTCCGGTGATGGTGCCTGAATGGTGCGTGGCCCGAATATTTGTCATGTCCTTTTTGGAGACTACACTTGGGTGCATGGGATATTTAGGTGAATTCAAGCGCTGGCTTGTACAAGTGGCCAAAGGCTTAGGCGCTGTGCCTGCCTACTGCTCACCTGAGTATTACACCGCACTGGCTGATCGGCGGATCCAGCGGGCAGCAGTTTACACAAAGACCCTTTCTCCACACAAGCACGACGTTTTTTGTCTGGGGCTTGTGTTCTTGCAACTTGCAACGCTTCAGAATGTTGTGGTGAGAATATCGCTCGCCCTGCGGGCGCTGGTGCTCCTCCCCTATGCGTGATATGTACATTAAACTGCTCCCATTGTGGATTATTAGAGTGGTTTACATGACCAGGAGTGAACAAGCAGTTCCTATTCGAGTTGTGTTTCTTTTCTCTTGGAAACTTTGTAGGCTTTAGTTGCCAGTGTTGTTGTCTCCAATGGCATTTTATGCATCGCATTCTGTGGACCAAGGTATTAGAAAGCACGTTTGGCAAGCTTTAAACTTGCTGTCGATCCAATTGCAGCCGTTTGCTGGTACACAACTATTCTGTGCATGCTGTTATTGCAGACATATCGGGACAAACCAAAAAAGTTAATGGCTGCCTTGGAGAAACTTCAAAACACCAACTCGCCTGCAGCGCCAGGTATGGCAAATCTTAAGTTTCTTAAAAAGCACTTAACAAAGGACTTCACACTTACATTTTGAGCATCATGAATCGCCTCGTATTACTGTATATCGAGGAGCACGCCTTTGCATGCAACTGGACAGTGAGACACTCTATTGCCAAAATCCGTTCCATTCTTTGTTTAACATTTCCTCCCAGGCACCTCTGAGGCACTGTTATCCAATAGGCCATACGTGGCCCTCAGATAGTGCTGTGTCTCTAATTTTCTGTAGATTACCATGATTTTCTAAGTAGCCGGCATCTCTGTTCGAAATGTGTTTCCAGATGCGTGTGTGCCGTGGTGGGAGTGTGGGACTTGGTCTGTCTTGTAATAATAGCGAGATTCCGAGGTATCCTGCCTGTTTTTGTTGCAGAACTTGCGGCGTTACTGGGCCGTATGCTCACCATGAATGCCGTAGATCGACCCCTTTTTAGGGACTTGGTAGTGAGGCTAAGAAAGGCACAGCGGCGGAGGGCCATGGGTGTCACACTCGTTCTTAGAGCAGGTCTTTGTTTTCGCCAAAGCGCGCGAGAGAATATGCTTGCCTGAATCGATGTAACGCTGCACGGGGCGAAGAGTATAGTAAGAACCATAAAAATGCGAACCGTTTCACTCCTATCATCGTTGGTACTCTACCAGCCGACGTTTTTCTACGGTGTGCTCTGCTTCCCCAGGACGCACAAGACCGCTGGACGCTGCAGGCTTCGGATTGGGTACGCGGAGCTGCTGGGCTACTTGGCTTCGGGCAGCCCCTGGCTGAGGAACTGTATCTTGACAAGTCCCTGACTCCCGCGGGCATGGGGGCACAAACCAGGCCAGCCAATCCCAAGAAGGAAAAGGATGAGTCCAGCTGCGCAGTGATGTGATGGGGTACGCTATACTCTCCGCCATTATTAACCTTGCTCCCTCCTATTGTCTAGAAACGTCCAAAAGGAGTATCTGAGTTTTAGATCGACGGCAAGGCGAATATGTAGCCATTGCCTTTGCAAATTCACTTGTACTTTGCGTTTACCACTACATGCTAAGCAGGCTGCAGCAGAAAAACGTCTTTTAACATGGTATTCTTCATGGACTCTGAGGTCTAAATGACTGCAAACATCAAATCTCTTGCATGCAACAACAGACATTTGGTGCTTGACTTTGTTTATTTGTTTTGGGGTCGTTCGCCAGCAGGCTACGTATTGCTAGGGTGCTCACCTGCTCTCACGAATGCTCGTGCAATGGCACGCCGATATGCGCTCCCAAACGCACGCGATTCAGAGCCCAGCGATCAAAAGGCTCCAATGTGATTTTCCTACAGAAGTGCCGGCAGCGGCTTTAGAAGAACATGTATACTTCTTTCAAGCCACACAACACATGGCATTAATTATGGCAGTTAAAGGGGCAAAGGGAAGAACGTATGCACGTTGTAGACCGCGGAACAGCCAATATTCAGCAGCCTTCCTTATTTGACGATTAACCCATGAAGCTGACGCATCGACAAGCTGAAGGCATTCTAGGCACGTCGACCTCGCATGCCAGTGGAGCGGCCCTGAAACCAGGAACTTCCGTCTTCTTAGCAAGCAATCGACCGTTCCACCAGATCAAGGGATGCCAAATGCACGAATTGAGCTAGCTGACATTACGAAGTCGCCGACATATCATGAGTGAGGCGCTTGTTATCGGGGTCGTATGCTGCGAATTAATTAACGAGGCAACACTGTCAATAAGCCTTGCCTTGAACAACATTGTATTTAACAAGGTCAAGGGAATCTAAGCAGCGGATAGCACGTGCAGCTTGGCGTAGCCCGTCAGCACACAAAGCGCTACGTGCCATCTGCCAACTTCCCTCGCTCACCGGCAAACTGCTGACCGCATGCAGCATCGATCTCCCTTCCAAAATAGTGCCTGTAAAGCAAGCGCATGGCATGGAATTTGTTTTGAGGCCCATTGTTACATAGCGGTGGAAGGTGCGTGGCACGGGTTTCCCTACTAGACCCACTGTTTTATCCGAACATTGCCTATTTGCACAATATATATCTAATACATGTCCATACAATGCACCATGCAGCAATAGCTTGAAAGGGCAGTGGAATTATGAGCTGCATGCACGGTATCGTCTATGCCATAAGTTTCGTATGAAGTAATCAGACAGCGTAGTATAAACAGCCGCGAACCGCTTCTTTGTCAACTGATCACCTGCGGGAATGCGAGATGGAGGAGTTGTCAAGTATTTCCTGCAAAAATATCAGTACAGTGCGTGCCACTGAATACTTTGAAAACAGGCTGATCAGGTGTCAAGCTGAGGGGAAGCCATTATTTTTCATGCAGCATCCATTGTTTGCCTGGAATGGCGTAGCTTGCGCGTACCTCGAACAGCTCAAGTCGTTTGTTCTCAGCGCGCCGCAAGGAGGGTGATACACCTTTTGCTGCATCCATTCAAAAGACATCATTTGATCATACTATCAGCTGGTCATCTCAGGATGCTGGAGCGCGCATTCTTGTTGATAAAGCGAATCGGGAGTATCCCCTTTCAACACTAGGCTGCAGTGGGAACATCTGGTTGCGCGGCAAGAAAACACTGTCGTGCTAGCAACGGTGCAGCAGAAGTTCCACCAGAGGCTATTCGTCGATGCCAGACCCTCATTGTATGCTATCAGAGATATATGGTACAAATGTCTCGTTTCTATTCTGCGCTCCCGTAGAAGTGCTGCAAGGGCTTTTGCATGTTCAGCGGAGTCGTTCTGGCCTGAACCCCAGCATACAAAGCAGAACAAAACTAGTACACTCAAAGTTTACCAGAATCAGCTGTACCAACTCAAGGCATGATGCAGAGCAATTAAAGAGTCTATACCTATCACAAAGATGGTGCCAGGGTGCCTTCCGTTATAAAAGGCTCACTTCGCTATCAGATATGCTCGAGTCGCGCTGTCTATGTTACACTAGCACGCTCATCGACTACATCGGTGCCCAATCCATATATGTTCCGCCCGTACGCCAGTCCATCCAAGTGCTGGGCATTTACCTTCAAGCAACAAGTAGGCAATCCAGACACGACGCCCTGTTAACGCAATTCGTTCATCGAGGAGATCGAGAACCTCGGGGAAAGGATACATGCGATTTGCTGGGACCTGCACAATCCAAACAGCTGAACGGGCAGCTCTAGGCATGCCTCTGATCTGGTAATAAACAGTTCGTGAAAACTGTGTATTGGCCTTCAATTGTTTCGTGCCAAAAATATCCAGCTTGGAAATCGCACGCTACAGCCCCTCTCTCCAGAAAGGAATTCTCGGTTCGCTATTAATCAAATCCCGCAGAATCCAGCCAATGCAGTGTAAACATATAGTAGACTTGCATCACCTGATCAACCAAGTAATGCAATGCTAATTATCACAATGCACAGTGCAAACGTACCAGGATATTGCGCTCTTCGGTGAAGGGGGAATGCAGGGAAAACGCCAAATTAACCTAAGAGATGAAGCATTCATCAGTTAGACGGCACAGTCACTAGGTGTGTACAGTGAGGGAACCAAAGAAGCAAACCGTATCATTTAACTCCTACAACTGGAAGAAAAGAAACCGTTGCCGAAGCCCAATGCAAAAGCAAACAGTGTACCGTAAAGTCAAGCCCTTACTACTATCAATCAAATAGTAAGCTCTAGCAGTGAATCGGAGAGCTCGTTTAAACCATTTGCCTACGATTGATGCATCCATGTGTAATTGCAACCCCAGATCCATCAAAACGAAACGATCGCCTTTTCGGTCATACCCTTCTTTACTCTAAGCCAACTGGCTAAATGGCTTTCAGCTCCACGTGCACATAAATGCGTGTGAGATGCTGCCCTGTGCATTCGTATGTGTGCGCAGATCATGCACAGACATCAGACCTGTGGGTGCTCCTCGTTCAATTTCTTAATTCCAGGCAGAACCCCCGAGGTAGAGATACTCAGACGCCGTGCTGAAATACCAAAAGCCCGAGGGTCCGCTAGCAACTTGATGGCATCGAATACGCGGGGGTTCATCAGGGGTTCTCCCATGCCTGCGATAACGGCTAGCAAACAGCTCCGGAAGCTTAATTTGGGGGTCTCACGATGTGCTCTATTCTGAATGTTGCGATTTCAGCTGGGACGAATGTGTTACAAGATAACCGAAAGGGGATTCGAACTCCCTAAACAATTTTCACAGCCGGGCCTCCTTCATCCCACTGACCGAAATCCCATATATCATCCATATATTGATGAGAGCTTGTCTGTCATTGAACTGTCTATGGAGCTCCAGCTGTTAGCAGGCTTGCTTACCCATGAAAGAAATTGAACCTGGGTGCACACCTTTAGATTGAAAGTACAGCACCTGGTCAGTGATTTCATCGACAGTCAACTGTCGCTTAAAGCCAATTTTTCCTGCAAGACAACACATGCACAAGTTACTGGTGGAGAGCAAATTCAAGAGACGCTGTACAAGCTAAAGAAACTGCAGACCTACGGACTTTACGTAGATTAGTAGTCTGATTTATGCAGAGCCCAATCAAGTCGTAGCCACTTGAAGTGATCAACTTACAAAAAAACCTGTTTTTACCATTTTAGACTTGCCTGCCCAGAATTTTAAGCAGCGTGGACGAATTGCAAAAAACTTTTGTGTGTGTATCGCGGCGCTTACCAGTAGCACAAAAGCTGCAATTGAAAGAGCATCCAGCCTGAACATTCAACACAGGAGCTGCGATGGAAAGAGCATCTAGCCGAGGCACATCGGTCCTGTTGCAGCCTCATTTTCTGGCAGTTTTTGTTCAATAACCCGCAAATATTTACAGCAACTAACTCGAGTACCTGCCCACTCTGCACTAATCCTGACTGGGTGTACTAATTGTGTCTTCAGTCATTAATAATCCGTGGAAGAGAGTTGGCATGCGGGAGGCTATTCGGGGTGGCGTCTACTGCGTATACAATGGATGGGGGCTACATCCCACCTGTGACGAAATGCACAGAGAGGTATGAGTGGAGAACTTGAGGGCCACTGCTTCAATTCTGACTCCATCTTTGCACTCAAAAAGCACCTTTGTGGCCCTCGGGGCCTCAGATATGGAGGCACATTTTAGTGTTAGCAAATCTGAGCCAAACTCCCTCTCGATTGTGCTTTGTGCCTGAATCCCAAGGACCTTAAGGTCGGCTACTGCAGTGACTTTCCTTCTATACACCTGCTGAAAAAGCTGATTTAGCCGATAATTTGGGGCTCCAGCCCTTAGCAAGGCGGCCTTAAGAAGACGGAAGCGTCCAGAGCACTCCATAGAAAATACGCCAAAAGGGTCGTACTACCCACCATCGAGCTGGTTTCGAGATGATATTCCCGGGAACTGTGAAAGCAAAGCATCGCCAAAAGGCTTATTCAGTATATAAACTACGCCCCAAAGGCTCTCTGTCAAAGAACGATCAGTTCATTGCAGATTCGTCAGCTCTCCCCACGGGTTCAGCGTCGTACGCCACAGTAGTGATGCAAGCGACCTGCGTCCCGGCATTATAAGCTATAATTACATTCCTTCAGTTCATTTTTCAAAGGTATTTGTTGGTGGGGGATCCAGAAACCTTGGAATCAAACAGTTACCTTTCATTTACCTTTTGCCATTACCACCGCGGACCCATCTCTGAATGCAGGCGTTACCTAACAAGAATCACTGAAAGCCACCACGCAGTCTAGCAGTGAACAATTTATAAGTCGCTGCGCTTCATGAATTTACGTGGCACTTGTATTGCAAATATGCCTAGCCCTCGTGTTGAGTGGCACCATAATCCACCAGTTCTGCTAGCGTGTGTCAATACTTACACAGTTCCTCTTTTAGGCAACTCAAAATTGCCAACAATGCCTCCACTACACTAAGGTAGGTGCGCGTGTTCCTATTTACTTTCTAGCCACGTGCAGTACCGACTACAGACTGATTAACTGCCAAAGTAAGGATATATTCGCGACAAGTCTGAATGTTCGAAATGTCGTGGCTCGTCCCTGCAGAGCCATGCGAGTAATAAATGATCCCAACCAGGGGTACAGCTTTATCATGTTACTACTCCACACTAAAATACAGGCCAGTAGAATCATGCATGCCTGCATGTATATTGCAGGGGGATCGTACACTCATTGCACTAATGAACTGCACAGGAATGCGATTTGCATTTCCATGGTGTCTGCGTACATGAACAACCGTGTGTACAGTCATTATGCCAATTGGCACACTCCCAATTTCAACGAATGGGAAAATATCAGTCGTCTTGGGCTTCATCCGGCTTCAGCGGCCCTCTTGATCAGATGCAGTGTTATCAGACGCATTGGAGCTCAAACTTACTCTATTCGCAACAGGGTTCATAAATTTGACAACAGCCCTTACGTGAACAAAACCGAAATCGGTGTAAAGGGGGTAAGTATACATTCTGTCACCTGAAAACCGATACACATGAAAAGGGCATAGGTCGCATATAAAACAGGGACAGTTATGTCAGCAAGTGTTGCAAGCCACGTAACAAAGACATGATGCACTAAAAAATCCACCGACCCGAGAAAAAATTCGTGAATTCTTGAAGGGGAACGCGGAATTGCGTGGCTAGCGTGAGTTTGTCATCAGACGCCTTCATCTTCTTGACAAATAACGGCTGCAACAAGAAATGCACACCACATTGCTACTTGGTGCCATGAGACGCAGGGCAGCAAACAGCAGTTGAGCTTGCATGCCTTGACAGCACGCAGTGCGGGCCGGGTCGTACATCACAGGAAAATTCCACTAGGGCTATGTAATTCCCTGTATCCAGTGTAAGCTTTTCTGTAGGCACCATAAACATACACAAAAACAGTGCCTACTAAACAGCTTTTCCACGCAAAGATATACACATACATATTGAGGATGAGGGGACTTAAATTATTCGGATTGGTGGGGGCATTCAGCGATTTGCGTACGAGTCAGATGAGCAAGCTCATAGGCAAGCTTTTGACCAGCTTCCTGCAAAAAATCGAACAGCAGATAGAGAAAGCAGCACTCAGATGAAGTAAGAACCAGGGTTGCGGTTTCGTGACCATGAAGGGGGGAGCGTAGCTACATCCAGCATAACCCGGACCCAGATAGTTGATATTGCAAGTACCTCAGGATCAACCTTGATTGTCTTTGTGCCAAGTGCTTTAAGCCCGAACCAGAGGAGGGCCGCCAGCAAGGCTGACCCAACAAAAATGTGTTCGATCATCGAGGGAGAAACAAGCTGTTGAATTGGTAAAGCTGGCACGGATCCATTCTCCTCATAGACAAAAATTCCATCAAACCCATTTGCGTTATTGTTGAAAGGATCCTTAGACGAGAAAGCAAAATTTGCAAAACTTACATCTATGCAAAGGAGGGCGATTGCAGTGTGTAAATAAGTCATAATATCAGAGCGAAATGCGGGAAGGACACGAAAGGTGTTTGGATAGCTGAATATTAAAAATATCGAAAAATCGGAGCGAAACTCAGATCCCTGGTTAAAATGTGATTTCGTTTGTGGGAGAATCACAAAAGGCATCCCGATGCCTTCACCCGGCTGCTCAATGGTTTCAGACTTCGCGATATCACACGACCAACACAGCGCTTCCCTTATCTCCAAGGCTTGAAAGTGCAAATTCGTTGATTAATAGAGCAGCCGCAGCGTATTTGAGCCTTAGGTTGTGCCTATATTCGAATATAGCAAAGGGGAAGATTCCCCTCAAGCAGGGATAATGACTGTTCGTGTGGCACGCGGTGGTATGTGGGGGGTCTGGAACATTGACATTGCACTCTATGTAGAAGATTATTCTGCACTTCAAGGCGTGCTTGATGAAATTCCACTCTTCATAATACCTGCGTCCACTTGCAACTGTTCTTCATTCAGTTCAATTATGCAGTGCAAGTTTTCTCTTGAGGTCTGCAATGGCACAAATGATTAGTTTGTATACCATGTACGCCTTTGCGTGCTCATTTCACAACTAGCTCGTGTTTTTAATCTATTTGAACCCATCCAGAAGCTGTGTTCAGCGTTGGCGACCACTTAGCTCTTGTAGCTAGCGTATTACCAAGTTGTCTAGGGACACGTGCATTCCATGGCAGGTCATGCTGCACCTAAACAGGTAAACTTAAAGTAGTTTACCTTCAAGTAAATTTTAATTCCGTTAGGTAATCGTTTGAATAGTCTACTTGGTGATTTGTGCCTTAGCTTCGAGGCACATATGTCACTGGTGTGTGCGTGTGACTCAAGTTACTGCGTGTAACCCTACGCAAAGAATAAAACTGGTCGAAGGGTGCAGTCCTTGCTTACACGCTGCACTTTTTTAATTGATACCGGGGACCCCATGGGCTGAGGGCAAGGTAAGAGGAGAGCTTTTTGGCAGGGTACCTCATGCTATCGATTACAGTGCATTTTTGTTTGCGTTATCCGTGTAACGGATGGACTTTTGGATATCTTATGACATGGTACATCTCACCTAATCCAAGAAACGTATCCGTTTTTGTTTTCAAATAGGGCTTTTGTAGTGGATTAAGTTGCAGTAAAACACTTTCGACCACACTGGTCATATTAATTCCAGAATTGGTAAATAACAGGTTATTTCGCTTTTTTGTCCCTATGTTTGATTCAGTGAAGAATGCTCTTGGTTCAGACAGGCCCCTTTCTTAAGGCGTAAAGTTCATGTAAACTACTCCAAAATTACTTAGATAGATGCAGCGTAGACCACTATGCAGTGCACGCGCCTCTACACAACCAATTAACACATGAACTCAAAAGAGTTCAGTGGTAGCCGAGAATGAACGCAGCTTCCGATTTGGCTCAGCACAATGCTCCTTCCACGTGCGCTGGATGTTATGCGTACTAGCTGGGAATGGTCGGAGTGTTTAGAAGGTGCAGCCACGCTCCCCCTAGCTGCGCGTCTCCCCACAAGTCGGGAACTCTGAGGGGTTTGGACAGGAGAAGAAAGAAGGTCATTTGAGGCATTTGAATGCTCTACATCAAATTCTTGTTGATTTCGGAGTCACAAACGCTCCTGCGAACACTTTTATTGGGGGTGTTACAGTTGGTAGCACCGCACGGCTTCAAGCAACTGCTCCCTGCTCATCCACTGGCTGTGGATGCAGTCCAAGCGCCTCCCTACAACACTTGCCTAGAGATTATAAAATTACTTGATAATTCAGTTCCCGTATTTTCTCTGGCAACAGTCCGGAAAACACCCCCTTGCAATAGAAGTAGACGGTGTCGCAAGGCCTGTGGGGGCAGCAGAGGCCGCAAGCCGCTGTAAGCGCAGTAACTTCATAGCTTGGAAATGCATGATTTATCATCCTATAAAATATGTGCGGGTGGGTTGACGATGCTATGCCAACCAGAAAAGTATAGCGCCCATTAGGATAGGCATGTACGTGAAGGCTTTTTCCGCCAGTTGGAGATACGTGCCCCGCTCTGACCATGCATATAAAGAGAAAAGATTGATCTGTGCAGTAATTTATCGGGAAAGCGCTGTACCTGTATGTCTATCTATGCAGAGGAAGTCGTTTGTATGGGGGAACCATTACAGTTTAAGCTTGCTGTCAGGTCCGACCCCTAAGTTTCTGCCGAGTTAAGCTCAAGCGCAAACTTTGGGAGGTTTAAAAAAGCTAAGGCGGGTAGATATCTCATTGAATCTGTGTCTAGAGCGAGATGAAGCTTTAGTTTGCAGCAGTCACAACGTATATGACCAGCCGCTTTATCACTAGTCTTCTGTCTAGCCGACGTGTCCTGTTGGGTGGCCGTAGGATTGGCAGCAAACGGGCGAAAAAAATACCAACTGGTCGAGATTCCACAAATGATAAACTGCATTTGATTTCAAGACCAAATGAGCTTAGCGCCTGCATTCTGGGCGAAAAAGGAAGAGCCCAATCGTTATTTAGAACCTATGGATGCTGGGGGGGTGTCGATCGGCCCTAGCCTACAATCTCTGATGAATGGGGAGGGAAAACATGATGCGATTTGCGTTGCTGAGCAACTCCAAAGAGCCTCATGACAATCCAGCCCCTTTTACTGTGGGGGATGGCTTCACTTAATCCAGAAATGCAAGCGCATGCAGCAAGTCCAAGAACTTGACTAAAGGAACTGCGCTCATCGAAACCAGGCCGCTTGGGTGGCGAAGAAAGCGCATCAAAGAAATGGAGCGCCTTGCAAGGGGGTGGTTGCTTAGGGAAAGGGGGTACAGAAGATAGAACTGCAGTTGGTAACCTACCGCCTGTCAAATCTGCGTTAATACAAATCCACATTCAGGGTCAAGAACTGCTGGCGCTAC